GTTTTGTGTGATGGTTATAGCCTGTCACAGGAGTTCGCACAATAAATGCGAATAGTTTTCGTCACTCTTGACGTAAAGAATCAAAAAATTTAGAACCCCGTACACTCACTATGCTCACGCTGCCACACATGATATGAAATATTTAAGTGGTATGAAGTCAATAATTCTACATTTGATGATATTCGCTAAATTTAGTACATTCCAACAAGTTTTCTACTTTCTACAAATAGAAGTTGTCATGTATTGTGTCGTCGGGCATTATATTGGTGCATACATACTTTGTTAGTGAGCAGCCCGTCACCAACCACTATGTACACCAATATAACGATTGTACTATTCAGTATTAAAATTAAGCAAAAACATTCATTTTTGATTTCTTAGATATAAAAGCAACTCACGAGTGATTAGTACGAAGATGAAACGGAAAGCGTATTCAATTCCAATTATATAAGCCCTCTTAACACTACGAGCTCGAAGTGGTCGTTTAATGTATGGGAATAACATCTCCACAACGGGAAATTCCTGCAGCAAATAGCTAACGAAGACAACAAGCATTAGCATAACTTTCACGGAGAAATCCACCCTGGAAAATTTTTTAAAAGTCCACCTAATCTTACGAACATCCGTAATGTTCAATCGGTTTATTTGTTCAGCTCAACTTGTGGCTAATGTCTACAACATAAATATTACTTACGGAGAGTTGGAAAGATTAAGTGTGATGCTAGCAGCAACATTATCACCGTAGGTGATGTATCCGTAGAAACCACAAGCAGCGTAGATAATAGTGACCAAAGAGATGCCTACACTCAATACACCAGTCGGACCTTTCATTTCATGCGGATGTTTCATTTTGTTTTCAAGGGGCAGTACCTAGATAAGCAAATGTTTGTTTTTTGTCCTTCTTAATGTACAAAATGTTATAAATTAAGTTTTGAAATCTTTTCTTAGCGAAACTTTTTGAAGTAAGAAGTATGTGTTTGATTTTGGATTTTTATGGTAATTAAGAGGAAATTCTGATCAATTGACTTGGTCGCATTTGTTCCGCTCATATCCCTTCTCCAGTAAACAACAAAGCAGAATTTCTTTTTCTATTTCCACACAGCAAAAAAAAAAGTTTAATCTTCGCAATTCCACACCTGCCTGAGCCAGCGAATGGTTGTGCTTCAAAGAGCGGAAATCTTTGAGGGCACGTCGCTAACATAACCCATAAATTCGTATTGGAACTTCATGCAATTGCCAAAAGATACATAGATCTACTGTTGCTTATCTCCTCAATTGCCAACTTTCCCTATATGTTCATGTAGCTAGTTTAGATAATCCGCAGAACTACCACCTAGTTTTATACCAACTATCAAAA